ATAGACACAGAGAGAGAGAGAGAGAGACTAAATCTCCTTTACAAACCTGGTGTTGGTTTGGCTGGTTGGTTTTCCTGTTTCTTCATTGTGGTTACTTAGAAAAAGCAGCTCATCCACCTAGTTCATATTAGCTACAGGGAGAGATACGTCAGAGAAAAGGGGATAAGGAAACTATATTATGACTGATATACTGATTAGAGTCAATCTCTCACTTGGCTCTAAAAAACTAAAGAAATTATACGTTAACTGAGTTGGAAGACTTGACCAGTTAAGCCTGCTTATATGTTGCTTTTGTGTGCTGTTAGTTTAGCATCAAATTAAAGCTAGCTACCTCGCTACGTTAGCAAACTAAAAAGTGAAACGTTTATACAGCTTGTCTAGCTAGGTACCTCGAAACTACCCCAACATTACAGCTGTAATGTGCTGCTACCATTGGTATTTTTTGCTTTTACAATCCGTACTAAACATTTGTATATAACAACTGCACATTAGTCACTAGCATACTTGTGTTTGTAAAAGTTGGAAAAGGTTACAACAAACGAACAACTAAATGTTCTCTCGTGTTCGGCATCTTGGAAAGTTACCCCTAAAAAAATCGATGATGACGAATGTTGCTTTCAGGGTCCCAAAATAAGCTCGGAGGTTCTTATAAGAACTCACGAGATTCAAATGCTTTTCGGTAAAAAATAAAATAAAACAACAACAGTAATAATAATAATGACAAGTTTTGTGTGTGTTTTACAGCGCTTGTTCGAGGTAAAATTTTCGAAATATGGAAAAAGTATGCTGGGCATATGTTATTGGGCATATGTTATTGATGTTACCGTATGCATCATATTTCTTGTATAGTTATTGCATGCATCACCTTGACATGAGTTTAGTTTTCCCAGGCCAGCAATTATAATAATATAAGCATGTAATGTTTTAATATTTGTCCAATGAAGAATCTTTATAGAAAAAGATCATTATTGCATTAAACCAAAATACAGTATATAGCACAAAACATAATTCTGTTACTTTTGACTGAGCACCCGATGATTCAAGTTGAATCTTTAGACTGGTACATGTATGTATAACCAGTGACCAGATTTTCTTCTACTTGCTTGTAAATAACAAAATATAATGGCTACACAATCAGCTAATTATTTTATCTGGACTGTCAGAGATACTGTTATATTATACCTATGTCTTTGAAAAATGTTTGGGAAAATATAATTAGCTGACACCAAGTGATTTGTCCAAGGAGTCTGTTAGGTTATTTCTTAGTTAGATAGATATTCAGAGATTTGTTGTCTAGAAATGTTTAGTGGAGACAGGATGTCTAGCTCAGGCTGTGAACTGCTCAGTTTAATTTCATGTGCTTGCAAACTGCATGTAGGCCAAGGCTGCAGGCAAAGAGCTGTTAGTATTAACTGTAATGCTAATCTTAATATTTGTCTTAATGTGAAATGTCATGTCAAATTGTTCTAGATACACACCACAAAAACAACAGCCACACACCTTGACTTTTCCTCATGTTTTGACTAACGTTATGGTCAGCTGCAAGCTGGCATATCAGGTGACGTCACGGTTTGACGCCCTGCGTAGTATGGGCTAGCCCAAAATGATTAAAATTATATAGGTTTCATGGTCCAGGGTCTTGTCTTCTTCCGGGCTGCCTGCGAGCAGCTCTGGGGGTGGAAGATGCCTGGACGTGTAATGTTAATTCTTGCCTGTGACCCTTTGAATAAACCAGCACGGTTATATTTTTTTATATACTCAAGTGGTCTGCCTCGTCTCTCTGAGTTCCTGGTTGAAAGAACCGGATGTGGCTTTATAATAGAATAAAGCCTTTAAGTCTATGTGCTGAGCTTCACTTTGCACACAGAAAAATAGCCTCGTGTCAAACATACCATCCCTATATGACAATTAAAGAGGATTATGAATGAACTGTGAAAACCAAGATAGGTTGCCTAAAATGTGTAACTGTCATATTATTACAATAGATAGGGCTATACCGCATGTCAGGACTCTCTGAAGGCAAAATGACTAATAAAAATACACAATTATTATTATTATACATAGTTATTCTCCGGTAAATCCATGGGTACAGGTAAAAAGACAGACTGAAAAATAAAAGAAATACATTGTGCATATATTCCTAAATTCTGCACGCTAAGGTGAATAGGGAGGATTAGATGGATTACAGAAAACAAACAAACAAACAGCCAGTAGGGTTTCTTTAAAACATTTCAGTCCTATCATTACAAGTGTCAGTCTCTCTCACTCACCCCTGATAAAACCTTCTGTCAACAGAAACTAAACAACAACAAACAAAAACAAAGAATTCCCAGCAGCACCCAAAACCTTATCAAACAACTGGACCATACTGAAATCTATAAAGGAGATAGCTGTTATAAGCTTCATCTTAGTTGTCACAGTCCAGGTCTGGCTGCAATGCCTGGATCATATTTGGTCCTCACTTGATTCTTCATGGTTTTTCAAGGGACAAACAAAAGTAAATAGAAATGAGGCCATCTTATTGGGCTTTATCTATAAGGAAAGATGGGCAAGATTACAGAAGTACTGACTCTGCCCTTTATTTTACACAGACCCACTGAAGCTAATGTCAGCCTCTGTGGGTCTATATGACATCTTGTGTTGAGAGTCCAAAGCCTAATTTTTGATTGTGACACACAGGCATCTAATGTTTTGTGGATCTGAGAAAATCTTTGGTAACACTAGTATGAATGTTCTATTCGTGATGGTTTCCATTACATCCTTTGCCTCTGAGAAAATATGAGGTGTGTTTGGTCGATGAGGGAAACAAACTCACTGTTTCAGATGCTGACTGCTATCCTCTGAATCTCTTTAATCTCTGCTTGGAAGTCCAAAATTAAATTAATAAATCAAGAGTACTGTAGTACAATTTATAATTTGATATCAATAATATTATATTTTTATGTGGTTTGTTTGAACAGCTTCTGCCAAGATTAGGTTATGTTACTACAAAGAAAGTGTTTGTGTGTAGCATTCTGCAGTTTTAATGAATTATAGGGTAAGATTCACCTCAAAGTCTGTAATCAAGCCCATGTATTAACTTCTCAAGTATAGTGTAAATGTCCACACATAGTGTGGTGTGGGTTTGTCTTAACAACACTGAGATTATGACTATGATCCTTGCGTACATGGGGTTCCAATTGTCTAAGTCTACAGGTGAGAGGGATGATGTAAAAACAATGGGAAGCCTGGTTGTTACCCTCACAGGCCACCTGCAATTCATTTTGTATTTAGCGTCTTTCTGTACATCATAATATGACTATGTGATGTCATATTATATATTGATGGCATTTAAGTAATAATTCTCTCTTAATGACACCATATGATGGCATTGGTTCTGTACCGGAAACAAATTCCTTGTGTGTAACATGCTTGGCCAAATAAAGGTAATTATCCATTATCCATATAACTTAAATAAATCTCTTTATATTGTCCCTCAGAACACCCTCACGGGTAAACTTGAACGTTAGATACGGATTTTCTACATCCCTAACTGGCAACCTGTGTGTTGTTCAGGGGGAGGTGCTAGTTCGCAGTAGTTTCTGGAAGGAACCTCATGCTTGCACCATGGAGAAAGTGAGTATTTTGCAGCTGTCCTTATGATTATTGAGTTAAATTCGATATATTTCAGTAATATCACTGTATTTTTCTGAATTAACGCAATATTAATTTTAATTCTCGTTGTTATAATTTGGAGGTTAACGTTAGTGTAGTAAGCCATCTGTTTACACAAGGATTTCACTGCTTGTTAATATTAGACAGCTACCTGACTTGTTAGCGTAGCGTCAAACCCGGTAGTAATGCTTTGTAACTTAATGATTGGGCTTGATGATGTTAACCAACACAAGATATTTTGATAAAGGCACTCTACAGTGTATTTAGTTTGCTAGCATTGTAGCTAATTACAAAGTGCAAACTTAGCTAAGCTAAGCTAGGTTAGGTAACTGGTCATTTATGTACTGATGGCTAATTTCTAATGTTATGCGACGAAATTAAATGTTAATGTTTGAATATTATATTTGTGACAGCTGCTTTATCGCTAAAATGTTCACATTAAGGGTTTGCTTATCAATGTAGCTGTTAGCCCTTGTCCGTTCTTGATATAGCAAATGAACTCGTTAACTCCTAGCAAATCACCGGTCAAACGCCGCTTAGAAGTTAACGCTATGTCCCGAGTTAGCAAATCATCGTTTAGCAGCTAGCATAACAATAACCCCCAGTGTGAACACTGTCATTAATAAGGCGTCTGGCAGTTAGGTCGTAGTTACATGCGTTTCTTGAAATATTGTGTCGGAAGACCAACGGCCTAAACTGCGGCAGTCGGTTTGTAGCACATGCTGCAGGAATATTTTTGGATAGGCTTCGGTGTTGTTTTCAGTAGCCTGCACTCAGCCCGGAAGATCATTCTAGATGCACGCGGGCGCCACTCTCATGGCTGCAGTTGCATTTTTTCGTCAGCTATAGCTTCTTCTCGAATGTTCTGGATAGTTTAGGTGTTTTCCAAGTGCGTTACATTCATTTTAGACAACACTTCTGATACTTGATAATATAATTGTCTTGACTTTATCTGGCAACACCACTCTCGCTGAACTTGCTTCTTTCGGGTCTAAAGAGGGAGCCACCAACTTATAATTACGCTGATTTTGCGAGGATTTACATATTTTAACATGGTCATTTGTTAAATCATTCAAAGAGAACAAAACAGAGTCAGTCCTAGGGTGGCAATGATGTGAAAGTTTAACCGTCCCAGAAAAATCGCACTATTACGGTATTACACATTTATTTACTGTTTTTAATAGCTACATCAGCTTTCGGAAGAATGGGGAAACGGATCTTTTTTTTGTAAGTGACTGTGTCAGGTGGATTGCAACACTAGATTGACTGTGAACAGGTGTAGAGCTGCAACCCTAGTCAGTCCTGGAGGAGGATTCTTACTTTGGCGTCTCACTATATCATAGTAGTTAGCTCAGTGTTATAACGTGTTTAAATAGTAATTGCTGGTCACATAAATGATTTGCTTGTACTGGATCCATGTCTCCGTTACAGACCTGTCAGTGACCAACATGTTCTCATCAAATCTATTAGTGTAATGTAACAGCCTTGTCACGTACAGCCTACACTCATTCTCGATTTTGACAGCAGAGCAATTTAGTTTTTGATAATGGATTGTGTGTATTCTTTTTAACTAAAAGATGTGTTCTGGGATTTTCTGAGAATACCACTGACTGTATCCAATCTATCTCCATGAGCAGCCACACCTCAGTGGGATTGACATTGTTGCCCATCCCTTGTTTGAGTTGATCTAAGAACTTTCCTAAATAAACCTGTACTGGATGTTTTCAAGTTATATATGTGTGTGTGTGTGTATTCTGATAATGTCTTTGAATATAGTCTTGGTTTTCTAAGTAGGGAGCTGCCCACACAGCTCTGGATCACACTGATTCCACTGATCTGTAGTATCAGCTTCCAATTGGTTGGATGATTGGGCATGGAGTTGTGAAATATAAAGGGACTGTACAAGTAACATTAAAGGATTTTTATTCATGTTAATTAGTAGTATTTACTGACAATCCATGTTCAGCCCATTATCTTGGTCCCAGCCTACAGTGGCACAGAAGATTCTTATGATGCTACGATCTGCCTTTCATGTTTTTAGCAGTTGAAGATGTTCCGCGTAGATTAGGTTTGGTGACTGTAGAGGGAAAAGCCATGCCAGTCAACATTTGTTGTTCTTCACCCAGGATAACTGCTAATGCACTTTTAAGTGTTCTCACATAATCATTAAATGAAGCTAGAATAGCTGGAGAACCTCTCGAACACAGTTGTGCTTATTTCTGCTCAGTATGCAATTATGTCACATACTGCAGAACCACAACATGATAACTAGACAAACCACATAAGGCAACCAACAAGGGACACTAGAAATTGAGAATTTCTTTTTGCTTACTGGACTATATTTCTGGCTCATAGGTTTCAGCTTTGAAAGACCAGGGCAACAAGGCTCTGAGTGCAGGAAATATTGACGAGGCTGTACGCTGCTACACCGAAGCCTTGGCTCTTGACCCCTCAAACCATGTCCTGTTCAGTAACCGCTCAGCTGCCTATGCCAAGAAAGGCAGCTATGAGAATGCTCTCCAAGATGCCTGTCAGACCATCAAGATCAAACCTGACTGGGCCAAGGTGAGATCATCTATTCTGCCAGTATTTTGTTGACGATATACAGTATGTAGTAATTAAAACTGAGAATGCGGTCTACAATCTTTTGATCAACCAGGGCTACTCCCGCAAAGCTGCTGCACTTGAATTTCTTGGCCGATTAGAGGATGCTAAAGCAGCTTACCAAGAAGGACTCCGGCATGAGCCAAATAATCAGCAGCTGAAGGAGGGTTTACAGAACACTGAGGCCCGGCTTGCAGGTACATGGGTAGAGGATTTATAGATGGTGGCTGGTAGGATCAAAGCAAATTACATCGTTCCTAAAAGCTGAGTAGGCAGCCTTCATGTGTTTTGTGCCCTGTGATTCATTCAGAAGAGGAACAGAAACCTATGTTGAATCCTGCACCAGCACAGAATAGGTGGGCATTCATTGAGTGCTTCTTTCTGACCATATAAATCACACTAATAAACATCTCTTTTTGCTTAACCAGAGAAAACAATGATGAACCCCTTTGCCATGCCCAACTTGTACCAGAAGCTGGAGAGTGATCCTCGGACTCGTGAGCTCTTGTCAGATCCCAGCTACAGAGAACTGCTAGAGCAGCTCAGGAGCAAACCATCAGAGCTTGGCATGTGTGTGCATTGTTAAAAATCATTTTCTGATATAATAACAAGCTTAAGGTCAGAGGTTGTTACTTTGAGTAGTTTGATAGTTTCACAGAAAACCTGGTTAAAGTTGTAGGAAATGTTTTCTTTTTTATTCATTGTGTCAGTACATGATTACATAGTTTTAGCAGGACACTGTCATTCCTTACATTTAATATTGTGCAAGAACAATATTATGTTGTTGCTGACAAGGGAGAAATGTATTTGTTTGCTTGTTTTTCAGGAAGCTACAGGATCCCAGAGTGATGACAACACTATCTGTGCTGCTGGGATTGAACCTCTCTGAGATGGATGAAGAGGAGGAGTCCACTCCTCCTCCTCCCCCCAAGCCCAAAGAGACTCAGCCACCGACTCCCAAAGAGGAAGACCTACCTGAAAACAAGAGAGAGGTAAATCACTTCACCATGCTGTTTAGTTTTAATGAGTTTTCAGCCATTTTGCCTTTTCAAATGAATTTTCTGTTTTCAGTTCTGTTAATGTTCTGCTTTAACTTTTTACAGGCCTTGAAGGAAAAAGAACTTGGGAATGCTGCATATAAGAATAAGGACTTTGAAACAGCACTGAAACACTATGAAGAAGCAATCAAACATGACCCCACCAACATGACTTACATTTCTAATCAAGCAGGTACACCCAGTAATAGGATGTGCTAAAAATCAATTACCAGCTTCACACATTTTTTTCACTTGCTAACCAAATTTACAAACACACAATTCAGAATTGCTTATATGTTTAGAGTTCAAAAAGCTTCTTAAATGGAAAAACCACAGAATCTGACTTGGCAATTGGTTGTGAATGTAAAATAGTATTTTTTAATTTCAAGTGTAGGCTGTATGGATTCCCTGCCACTGGGATGAACTCTCATCTTGTATAGGGAAAAAATGTGATTACTCGCAATACAGTTTAAAAGTTGAGTTGATATGAGTGTATGGACTGCTTTGTGAGTCCTTCAGAAATCTGAAATAATGAGTCAACAGTCTTAGTTACAATTTGATACAATTTGACTCCGCTAACATGACACAACTTTTAATTTCTACAAAATGTTGTGTTTTAATGTTGCACATACTCCTTTTCCATTCAGCTGTGTATTTCGAAAAGGGAGAGTTTGAGAAGTGCAGAGAGCTGTGTGAGAAGGCCATTGATGTTGGCAGAGAGAACCGTGAAGACTACAGACAAATTGCAAAGTAAGTTTTTTAAGATCGCATCATTTGCAGTAGTTCCAAAGTTGTCTTTTTTGTTTGTTTGTTTTGTCTATATACATTCTGCTCCCACAAGGGAGAGGCAGGGATTTGGATCATCTGGGTCTTACGGGAGATGGAACAAATGTTGACGCAACAAGAACATACTTATTCTAATTGGCATGTCCTCACAATAGACATCAGAGAGGTGTGGGTGGAAGGGCGTTTCCAATGCTTTTTGATAATTAGGCAAGCATACTGGCCACTTATCAAGCATTTGACGAGAAATCACCTGTAGTACACAAGAACTACATGGTGGCACTGTTACTATTGAATTCCATTACAAACTGGCTAAATCTGATGAAGTAATGTTTAGGACACAGTGACCTGTCTAAAAATGGGTTTGTGAGTAAAATCAACAGTGAGATGGGCATGCAGGAATGGGGTAGAAAACAACCATCAGTGATGCAGCTTATGAAGAGATCAATGTGAAAAAGTGTTTATGTGCCTAAAACTGCCAGAACAATGTTAAAGTAAGTAGAATGTGTTATTTATCTCAAGAAGGAAACCTGCCTGTTAGCTCAGAGTGTATAACTAGCTCCAGCAATCTGGTCAGAGCTCTGGATTTTATGACAGCTCTGGGTGGTTTTAAACTGAGACGGCAGGAATAAACACTAGTTTTATGGTAACACAGCTCACACTATTAATTTATTGCTAATGGTGAAGACCTACTGGAAGTGAACAAATCGTATAATGATGCCTTCGCCACTTCTTGCTATCGCAGTGGGTGGGTCGACACAGGCTGACGGTGACAAGTGACAGCATTCTTATATTTAACAGAAAATGTGTATATGCTAGCCTGTTAATGTGTCTTTGTCAGTGTAATCTAGAAGGCAGGGGTCAAAAGGGAGAAGGATTCCAGAGAATGCAACTACAGGTGCATTTCAATAATTTAATTTAATCGTGGAAAAGTCCATTTATTTCAGTGATTCAACTCAAATAGTGAAACTCGTGTATTATATAAATTCAGTACACATAGACTGAAGTAGTTTAGGCTGTTGGGTCTTTTAATTGTGATGATTTTGCTCCCATTTAACAAAAACCCACCAATTCACTATCTCAATAAATTAGAATACCTCATAAGACCTATAAAAAAACATTTTTAGTGAATTGCTGGCCTTCTGGAAAGTATGTTCATTTACTGTATATGTACTCAATACTTGGTAGGGGCTCCTTTTGCTTTAATTACTGCCTCAATTCGGCATAGCATGGGGTTGATCAGTCTGTGGCACTGCTGAGGTGGTATGGAAGCCCAGGTTTCTTTGACAGTGGCCTTCAGCTCATCTGCATTTTTTGGTCTCTCATTTCTCATTTTCCTCTTGACAATACCCCATAGATTCTCTATGGGGTTCAGGTCTGGTGAGTTTGCTGGCCAGTCAAGCACACCAATACCATGGTCATTTAACCAACTTTTGGTGCTTTTGGCAGTGTGGGCAGGTGCCAAATCCTGCTGGAAAATGAAATCAGCATCTCCAAAAAGCTGGTCAGCAGAAGGAAGCATGAAGTGCTCTAAAATGTCTTGGTAAACGGGTGCAGTGACTTTGGTTTTCAAA